GAATGAGAGCTCTCACTCCCAGGGTACTCCCGCGTATCTGGCTCCCTCCCCTCTTCCCCCCCCTTTCTCTGGGCGAACAGGTGAGACGTCTCTGTCTCACGGGTGTTTCGTCCCTGTCTCAACGCTGTGCCACAAATGCGTCTCAGTAATGTCTCACGGACTCTCACCGATCTCTGCGTTGTCTCAGCCTGGTCACAGCAACAGTCTCACTTTGTCTCAAGGATGTCACACACACGGCACAGTCACCTTCAGAGACGTGTTTGAGACACCAGTGAGACAAATGTTCACCCCTGCTGTGTGACACTGTCGTCTCTACTACGTCTCTTCTTTTCCTCTCAGAGCGTCTCACACTCGTCTCACGGTGAACAAGCGGCAATCCTCGTCTCACTCGGTCTCACAACGGCATAGTTGCTGCGCCAGGGAGCGCGACTCGTCTCACTTGCTTCTGAGACTGTGCTGAGCCACGGCGTGATGAGACACGGCGCAGAACGGGTGTGAGACGCCACAAGCCGCTGCCGTTGTCAGATACCATCTTACCATGCCATGAGCCAACCTGAGACGCAATCGTGAGACATTGGCGGGAGAGTCGAGACTATAGGCTGCGTCGTCTTTGCTAGCCAGTGCGGTGTCGGCGGCGGCGTGGCGCGTGGGCGGTGGCGTGGGACCGGTTGTGGGCAACGAACGGTGGCGAGGGTGGCGGCGGTGCCTAATCAAGGGCGCCGGCGGTATGTGGGCCAGGTGTGGCAACGGCAAGGCCTGGCAGTGACCCACGACGATCTCCAGCGTCCAGTGCGGGTAATACCCGAAAATACCCGGGAAAACCCAGGTAGTTTCGGGTTTTACCCGGTTTTTTTGCCGTTTTCTGCTTGCTGGCCGCTGAACAACAGTAACAACAGTAACCAACAGTAACAGCATGGGCTGGGGTGAACACTTGAACAACGTTAAGGATTTCAGCCAACACTAGCGCAACTGTTAGGCCTAAAGTTAATGTTAAACAGCTCTAGAGCGTTGTGTACGCAGGGCAGAAGACGGTGAGGCGGAGCAGACGTGCAGGGCGAGACGAGGGAGGGAGCAGGACTTTGCGGAGATCAGCAGGAGGATGTACGAAGAGATTGGGAGCAGCAGGGACCCGAGGGACCATGCTGGGACCATGTGACAAGCATGTGGAAGACGGCTAGTGCTAGTCCCCCATATCGGGAGGACGACCCCGGCTAGAGTCGCCGACCACACCCACAAAGAACCCTGCACAAAGATCGCAAGGGCGGGGACCTGTTCCTTTTTACCCACCTCACAGTAGAGAGGTGTCCGTTTTTATTTATTTATTTAGAGCGATGTGTGGGACTTGAAGTATTGTGCGCTTTTTAAGCCTAGAGACGCTGTACGTTTAGGAGCCAGGACAAGAGGGGATATTCGACACTGCAAACGGGGGCACAGCAGAGGTGTGAAGCGGGTCGGTCCAGGCGCGCACAGGGGCGACAGAGTATGGGAACCTCCCTTTCCGTCAGAGTTCGCTCCCACTGAGGCCTCCGCTTTTTATTTCGCAGAGGGAGAGCGAGGCTCATCATTTAGAGAATGTGGGAGGACCGAGCCCGGGACCGCGTGAGCGTTGCATTTCTGCCCTCCCTCGCTCACACGCGCGCTTAGAGTTATGCGGCGCTACGGTGGAACTCGTGTTTAATTGAACAAGGCTGACCCCTACCCCTCTCGGTGGGCTTGCAGGTAGGGGGTTCGGGTAATAAGGTGCATCGGGGTCGGCGGGCGTGAACTGGAGTGATACCCGCTTCGGCCGTTTAGTTGCGAACTCCCTTTCCCCTCGGCGGCCTTTTGTCTTGCCCCGGCTGGGTGTGTGTCGGCTGCCGTTCCTTCGTCCGGCTGTTCGTACCTGTTCGTGCGTCAGGTGTGGGTGTGTTTTGGCCAGTGCCGTTCCTGCGTCTGGCTCTGGGAACCTGTTCGTGCGAGAGGTGAGTGTTCCCGTGTGGGATTGTTGAGCTGTGCCCCCGTTCCTGTGTCCGGCTATTCGTACCTCTTCGTGCGGGAGGTGTGCGTGTGGTTTGCACACACAGGGAATCGCCACAGACGGGGAGCGCGATCCCACCACAGCCCTCCTCCACCACCCTGCCCGCCCCCTCGCCCCACCAGTCGCCACAACATGTTGCTGCTCCTGGCGATGAGCAGCCCGCTCCCGCCGCCGCCATGCGGTTCGCGGTCTTCTCCGGCCACGATGAAGGCGCCTGCGCGACTGTTCCGCCTGTCGGACTGGTACGGCGATGACTGGGACCACAAGAAGCCCATCGGCGATGCGGCGTGGGTCAGTCCGTGGGCCAAGGCGCACTTCAAGCTGCGGCAGCAGGAGATCGAGATTGAGCAGTGCGAATTTCTGCTGAGTGCCGCCGTCGAGGCGGAGGACTACGCCGAGGCGGGCGGGCTGCAGACCCGCGTCGAGCGGCTGCGCTCGCAGCATCCGATCATCCCGCGCGAGGAGCGGCTCGCCGAGGCGCTGGAGGACGGCAACTACGAGCTGGCTGCCATCTTCCAGCAGGATCTCGACGCCGTCAAGACGAACCTGGGGCTGCCCAAGTTTGTCGTCGGGCAGGCGGTCGAGCACAGCCACCGCGAGGGCCTCCGCGGCGTCGTCATCGACGTCGACCTGCAGTGCTCCAAGGGCGCGGGCTGGGTGCGCGCGGCGGGCTGCCTCGAGCGCGGCTGCGCGCTAGGGTACCCCGCCGACGAGACGGAGGAGAGCGAGCTCAAGGCGTGGAGCTGCCAGCCGTTCTACACCGTGCTTCCCTCCCTCGAGGGGATGGAGGACGAGGCGGCGGCGGCGTCCGGCCTCTGGCGCTGGCGCTGGCCGAGCGAGCTCTCCGCCTCGGCGGTCAACAACCGCGACGCGCTGCCCGCGCCGCTCTACCTGAGCGAGGACGCAGTGAGGCACGACGCGGGCCTATCCGAGCCGCGCCACCCCGAGCTGCCCCGGCTCTTCGGCGGGCACGAGAGCTCGCCGCACCGCGGCCGCGTGTACCGGCCCGCGCCGCGGCTACGGTTCTGGCAGCAGGCGCGCGCCAAGGAGCTGGAGCAGGCGAGGAGCCGCGCGGCGAGAGCGTCGCTTGGCAGCAAGAATCCATATTCGAACATGGGCTGAGCGCTGCTCTCACACGCTAGTAAATCGTAAATGCCGTCGCGTGGCTCTGCCAGTGAGGACGGAGTGCCGGTAACAGCGGGAGCCGTGCGTGTTCCGTTCTCGCGCCTTGCCTTGCGACCCTACTCGCTACTGTCTGAATCTCTTCAATACGTATAGGTACCACGTATTCCAAACCGCGACCTGCGACCTCCAAAGCCAAAAGCCAAAAGGGCTGTATTCTGCCCGTATTTTCGCAGTATTCCGACCATAACGCATAAGTATATTGCTAAAACGAGGCCCAAAAAAATTTGGAGCACTTGGAGTGCAGTCGTCGGGTAACCTCACATCCAGGGCCACAGGGAGCTCACGGTTTTTCTCGATCGTGCGGTTCGACGTCGTCAGTAGCAAGCCCAAGCTGTCCCGAACCGCACTTATCTCGGGTCTTCAAGCTCACACCGGCTCGTGATGCTCCGGTGTAGGGCTCGAGAGCACTCAAGGTGGCCCTGTGCCGAGCGATTGCGAGGGCTTTCCGGAGGTCATTGTCGGCGCCATCGACTGTGAAATGTCCTGTTCCACAGCCCTCATGCACCAGGCGCATGGATGCAGTCATAATATGTAGGCCTTCTCTCCCAATCGTCCAGGTGCCGACAAAGCGGCTTCCCATCTCACCACCTCGCCTTCCCTGCCGCTCTCCTGGCCAAGGCCTATCAGTATCAAGCCTGAGCTGCTCCAGACCGTCCTTATCTTGGGTGATGAAGCTCACTCTGGCTCACACCACGGCTCTGCAGCCTCACACACGCCCGTTTCAGCCACAGACACCGCCGGCACGCACTCCCACTTCACACATGCTCAAACACAACCCCACCAAAGCACAGCCCTGATCAGAATGGACAAGGGCTACCACCTGGTGACCCTGTTAGCCTCTGGATCGCCACTGCACTCGCCTCCTCTGCAGCGGTCTCGCGCTCTCGCCACGACAGCACGCCGACGGCAAGCTTTGAGGTCCGTCTGGAGGACCTGCTGTGGCCACAGCCGCCCCTCACATGCAGCTTGCACCATGACTCGACACCGGGCCCGCTCATCTCGGTCGTGGCGGCGTGTGTGAAGGATGCGCGGCCGAGCCGCTGGCTGGCGCCGCTTGCGACGTCCGAGATGGCCGCTGTAGCGAGCCCCGAGCACGCGTCGAGTGCGGTCTCCTGGTGCCGTGGGACCGCCAATGGACCAGCAGGGGCGGCAGGCAGCCACAGGTCCGCGTCGGTGGCCTTGCAGGGCACCGCCAGACGCAATCACCCTCGACCGCGCTGTGGCCGTGGTGGAAATAGGGCTATAAAAGTGGGCCGAGGTTTTGGGTAATATAAAAAATAGGCCTTTAACTAGACGACAGCTCTGTGAGGCTTGCACCCTCGCCGCACTCTCACACAAACCATGTATATGATCCCAGTCACGCTCGCTGCGTGCCTCTCGCTCGCTCCGCCTTCGCCGGCGCGTGTGGTCTCCTCCGCCTCGCCGGCGCGCATCCTCTCCTCCGCCTCGCGGAGAGCGCTCCTGCACAAGGGCGCTGCAGCGGCAGCGCTTCCGCTCCTGCTCTCGCTGCCTGCGGTGGCTCAGGGTGGCGTGCCAGAGGGCATGAGGACCTCGGAGAGCTACACCAACCTGCAGCAAATCTCTCCCGAGACCACGGGCACGCTGGGTGCGGGGACCATGTCCTCTCGCTCGCGGCCAGTGACGGGCGTCGTGCTGCTCGAGGAGGTGCAGGAGTCGGGCAAGAAGACGGCGCCCACCGTGTCGGCAGAGCTGGTGCTCGACGGCGGAGTTGCCGCGACGGCGACCTTTGACGCCCAGTACCCGCTGAACCGCGGCATGTTTTACGACGTCGAGGTGCGAAACCTGGCGGGGGAGGGCGCCTTCCTACAGGTGGCGTCGCTGCCCGAGGGCAAGTCGCTAGGCGAGATGTCAGCCTCCTTCCTCACGAAGAGCGTCTTCTCGACCGAGGGCCGCTTCGGCGCGTACGGCGCCCCCACTGACATCAAAGTGCTCTCCAAATCGGAGGCGGGCGCCATGCGGCTGCTCGAAATCAGCTTCGCGGCGCTCAGCCCAGGAGGGAACGAGGTCCGCCCTCTGCCCCGCGACTCTGCCACGCACGCCACGACCACAACCCGCCCCCACCCCTTCTCCCCAGGTCCCTCGCCGCGCGCTCGTCGCCGCGGTGCAGCCCGAGGGGTCGACGGACGTTGTGATGCTCGTCGGCGGGAGCACGACTAGCGAGTGGAAACGGGCGGAGCCGCTGCTGCGGAGCCAGGCGTCGAGCTTCAAGATCGCGCGGGTGCGTCCAACCAGCATCAAGCGCAAGGCCAAGAACGACTATCGCTTCGAGAACCAGGGCGGGCTCAACGAGAGGGGGTCCGACTCGGTGTCCAACCTGGTCGACGGCTTTTGACAGGAGGATTTGTGTGAGCTCTGGCAGAGACCCCGCAGGCGGTGCACACAAGAGCCCCAGGATTACCTCCCTGGACCCTGCACCCGGACGTGAGATTTCTTTTTGAGGTACGAGTACACAACGAGTCCCGCGACCCGCGCGGTCAAACCTGGGGGGGACTAGCGCACATAGCCGCTCTTGGGACCTACGGCTTTAATACCTCTTTACGACGTCTTACGAGCGTTTAGCTGCTTTACCTTTTTACGGGGTGTGGAGGGTGAGTTGAACAAGGGGCTGTGCGCCGGGCCCTCCTGCTCGGCTCCAGCCGGTAGACAAGTCTTGTCATCAACAGAGTAGATGGATCTGACCTCGGGGCCGATGTGACCAAGCGCTGGTAGCGTGGTAGCGTGGTTTTACCTCACACCCATGTGGTCTCACAGTGTGCCAGCAGTCGCCGAGCAGTGTCGCTCACACAAGCCGCAGCACAAGTGACTGAGGGCCAGTGAGGGCGAGCCCATCGCTGTCACAGCGGTGGCAGCCGCACAGTAGGCTGTGTCAGCTGTGCAGAGTGTGTGAGCAGCAGAGGAGCTGCTCTCCAGGCTTCTCTGTCGCAAAGAGCTGCATGCCACCGAAAGCGCTGTCGAGGTTCGCCGAGCGCGGCGCAGGTTGAGGGACACCGTCACCGACGAGCGCGTTGGAGTATTCACTCCGGACAAAGACGGCCACACGCACACGAGCTGCGGTCGTGTGGCCGTCATAGTGGCGAAGGGTGTGGATGCTGGGTTGAACAAAAACGAGGGACGCGACCCACCTCGCCACAGACGGTCCCGCGCCTCGCCGCTATGACCGCTGCACGGCCCGTACCGTCCGCTGTGCAGCGGTCTTTGTCCGGAGTGAATACTACAACGCGCTCGTCGGTGACGGTGTCCCCCGATTTCGCCGCGCTCCGGCACCGCTCCGGGACGCACGCCGGCGAAGCACGTCAAGCTGCTGTACGGCCCCGGAATCGCCTCCCCTCGCTTAGCTAGACTGAGAGTTATTGTCCACATGGTTAGTCTCTACAATATACTCACTGACACCCCCCCCCCCTCCCAGAGCTCGTCCCGGTCCGCCACGGCCATCCTCGGCCTCCGGAGGGCCCCCGGCCGCGGCGCGGTGCGGCGGCGTCACAAATCCGACGGCAGAGCACCGGGACGCGGTCGGGCGATCTGAGGTCCAGTGAGGCGTATGCATTGCCCATCCAGGGCTATCACATGGACCTATCAACAGGCGCCTGCGGCGGAGCAGGAGGGCCCGGCGCACAACCCCCTGGTCAACTCACCCTCCACACCCCGTACGTAGAGCCGTAGCTGCGGTGTAGCGCTCCCGGGGGGGAGATTAAAGACGGAGAAAGAGTGCGGCTCGTAACGTACACAGTCACACACCTCGTGATTTTTGTCTTCGACTCTCTGTCGTTTCATCGCATTTCACGACGTCGAACCGGCGTTCGTCTTTGGCCTGGTGGGCTCGACCGCGCCCGGCTCGCTCGCCGGTCTGCGCCGTGGCTGGTTGCGATTGGCGCTCACCCTGAGCGGCGCCTCCTCGCCCCCCTGCAACGGCCGGCCCAACGGCCACCTCGCGCGCACATGCTCCACGTCCGGCGCGTCGGTCAGGCCGAGCTTGAGCCGCTCCGCTGCCGCCCACGCCACCATGACGCCGTTGTCGGTGCAGAGGCGCGGCGGCGGCACCACCATGCGCCACGGCGCGCCGTCGTCGCGCGGCGAGGGCGTGCTCGCGCAGAGCTCGCCCAGCCTGTGCGGCGGAGACGGAGGGGAGAGCACGCGTCAGGCCGTGCGACGCAGCGGCCGGCCGCGTCGGCAACGGTGCATTCGAGCAGTACTGTACTCGAGGAGACGGAGCCGAAGGGGCGGGGGCGTGTGCCACCCCAGAGTACGACTACCCGCGCAAGCAGCGCGGCTCTGCGTCCCGCATCTAGGCCCGCCCGACCGCCGCCGCAGCTCAGCGTTGGCCGCGACGCCGCCCGAGAGGACGAGCGTGTCTGGCGCGCAGCCGAGCGAGTCGCGCTCCTCCGCGAGGAGGCGGAAGGCATACCTGCGGGGACGCGTCTCGGACACGTCACGGACGCGGGTCGTGGACATGTCCGGCGAGGAGGCGGACGGCGCGCGTCAGCCGCATCTCGAGGTGGCGCAGCGCCGCGTTTTGAAAGGAGGCCGCCACGCCGGCGCGGAAGGCGGGCGAGGCGCGCTCCTCCTCGCTCGCCCTCTCGACGGCGAGTCGCACCGCCGTCTTGAGCCTGCGGTGATACGCCAGCCTCAGGGCGGGAAGTCGGTGTTGTGCGGTGTGTTCAGAGCACCGCGTGAATAGGAGGGCTGCATATACAGCCGAAGACAGCGGAGTACGGCGGAATACAGCTGAATACGTGTCCTCTCGAGCGCTAGCTGGAGTCGAAGACTCCGTGCTCCGCTTCTATAGGGGCGTCCGCCCGGCAAACGAAAAGTCGAAGGAGGGCTTGTTCCGCATCGGCACCGGGAGCGGCGTCGCCGACGGGTCGCCCTCCCGCGCGAGCGACTCGAGGGCGGGGCCTCCTCCGCCGCCGACGGGCAGCTCGAGCAGCCTCGCCACCTTGTCGTACGCCTCGCCGAGAGCGTCGTCCAGAGTCGAGCCGATTACTTGGTGGTCTCCAATCCCGCGGGTGAGGAGGAGCTGGCAGTGGCCGCCCGAGGTGAGTAGCGTGAGGAAGGGGAAGGGCGGCGGCGGGTGGCACGCAAGCCGCGCCATCAGCACGTGCGCCTCGAGGTGGTGCACCGCGACGAACGCCTTGCCGTGCGCAGTCGCCAGCCTCACTGCCTCCTCGCAGCCGACCCGCAAGCATATCTCGAGGCCGGGCCCGACGGTGACGGCGACGGCGTCCACCTCGGCTGCGGAGGAGAGGCCGGCGCGCCGCAGCGCCAGCTCGACCGCCCCGCCCAGCGCGTCGCGGTGTGCGTCGCGCGCGATCCCCGGCACGACGCCGCCCCACGCCTCGTGCAGCTCCGCCTGGGACGCGATCGCCTCGCCGAGGATCTCGCCGTCGCTGCGCACGACGGCGACGCCCGTGTCGTCGCAGCTCGTCTCGATGCCGAGCACGGTGAACGGCTCTCGCAGCGGCGCGCCGCCCGCCCGCCTCGCGAGGCCGCGGGCGCCGTCCCAGCCGACAGCCTTTGGGCGGCCAACGGCGGCGCGCGCGCAGGCGCGCACGGCGGACGCGCGCGGCGGGCGCGCGAGCGGGACGGCCGAGCCGACGAGCAGCAGCGAGGCGCGCAGCGAGAGGAGGGGGTGCATGGTATCGCCCTGGAGCCAGCAAGAGCGCGAAAGAATTTAAACAAAAGAACTCTCTCGCGCGAAAGAATTTTACAACCTCTCAGGCCGTGGGGTTTTCACACCGTTCCTCCCTTGGGTTGTGTGTTTTCTTTCTTTCTTTTTTTCACACCGTTCAAACGCGGCCCAGTAGCGTCCTCGCGCCTCGCGCATTTGGCTGTGTGTTGCCGGCACTGGGGCCTCGGGAGACAGCAAAAAAAATCTTTGAAATGGGCGTCGTCACGGCACAGGCAAGTTTGGGCCTAGCGTGTCCGAGGGGGCATCCAAGCTCTGTTCACAGTGAACACAGCCCGCCCGGGCGAGGCGCGACTGGCTGGCACGGCGTAGGCACGGCCTGTCACGCTCCGCGGCTGACCTCTTCGCTGCTCTCCACCCGCCAGCTCGACCGACTCGACCGCCGAGAGGCTGGGATCGGCCGGCGGCGCGACGCGTGGCCTGTGCTGCGGCCATCTCGGACGTTCAAGCGGCGCCAGCCAGCGGCTCGGCCGCGCATCCTTCACACACGCCGCCACGACCGGGATGAGAGGGCCCGGTGTCGAGTTCTGGTGTGATCTGAACGTGAGGGGCAGCTGTGGCCACAGCAGGTCCACCAGACGGACCTCAAAGCTTGCCGTCGGCGTGCTGTCGTGGCGAGAGCGCGAGACCGCTGCAGAGGAGCCGAGTGCAGTGACGAGCCAGAGGCTACCTGGGTCACCAAGTGGTGGACCTTGCCCATTCTGAGCAGGGCTGTGCTTTGGTGGGGTTGTGCTTGAGCATGTGTGAGGTGGGAGTGCGTGCCGGCGGCGTCTGTGAGCTGTATCGTGCGTGTATGAGGCCGTAAGAGCCGTGGTATGAGCCAGAGTGGGCTTCATCATCCCAAATAAGGACGGTTCGGGACATATCAGGGTTGATGCTGATGGGCCTGGGCCAGGAAAGCGACAGAGAAGGCGAGGTGGTGAGCTGGGAAGCCGCTTTGTCGGCACCTGGACGTGTGTCGCGCGCGGATTGAAAAGTGATCTGTGATCTGTGATCTGTAAGGGTCCTCCGCAGGCGCATTTTGTATACCGAGGCGGTGCCCGGTGCCGAGCGCAGGCAGAGCCCACAGGTCGGACCTTAAGACAGCATTGTAGATCCCTGGGCGAGGGTGATGGAGGGGGGGGTCCGGCGGCGGAGCACCCACCTCTCCCGGCGTGCCGGGAGGCAGGATGTCATCCCCCGTGATCCAGGCCGCCCCGTCGGAGGTTAGGGGTGGTAGGCTGGTACGCCGTCCCTGCCGCCGCCATCACTAGCCGCATTGGCTGAGACGACCACCGTGCGTGATGCGCTCATGCATCGTGATCCGCGGATCTGGCGTGTCCTGGCTCAGGTCCTGCTGCGGATTCTGCTCGGCCCTGCCACCCCGAAGAGCTGACGACGAGATGCGCGACGTCGTCGGGAGGCTGCTCTCGCCGACGGCGCTGCTGCGCGTCGTGCCGCGCATGAGCATCGCGCCCATGGCACTGCCGGCGCACGAGCAGTACCTTGCGGACGTTGCACAGGTGATGCCTCCGCCTGGGCTCTCCGCCGTGGCAGCTCTCCTTGTCGAAGCTCGGGGTGAGCTCTCCTCGTCGAGCCGGGCACTGACCCGTCGCTGCACCCTCTCGTCGTGCCTCTAACCACGTCGTCCGAAGGCGAGGTCACCGGGCTGCTCCGCTGGCCCGGTGCCGGAGGGCCGGCCTCCGCCCGAGGCGCTGCTCGACTTCCAGCTGTTCGGAGCGGTGGACGTGGATGAGTCGGACACGTGGGAGGTGCGCCCGGCGGCTGCGCGCCTCTTCGTCGCGGCTGCTCCACGGGTGGCGACGGCGGGGGTGGCGACGGCGGCGGCGGCGCCGGCGGCGGAGGCAAAGGCGGTGGGGGCGATGGTGGTGGTGGTGAAGGCGGCGGTGGCAAGGGTGGAGGCGGCGAAGGTGGCGGCGGCGCGGGTGGCGGCGAGGGCGGTGGCGGCGCCGGCGGCGGAGAGGGCGGCGGCGGCGAGGGGGGCGGCGGCGATGGTGACGGCGGTGAACCCCTCTCCCACCTTACCCCCTCCTTGGCCCTCGTCCGCCTCGTCCGCCTCGTCCGCCTCGTCCGCCTCATCCGCCTCATCTCTGGGAACAGCGTCTCATCCGCCCCGAGGCTCCCCTCTTGTCGCTCCCTCACCTGCCTCGCCATCATCTTTTTCACCGCGTCCGTCGTGACCTTATTTTGCTCTGGTATCTCCTCTTCCCATGTCGCATTCGTGCCGAGGCCCGGGGTCCCCTGTTTAAATTCTTTCACCACGGCAGTCGCAGAGCAGATTGTGGATGAGCTTGCCTGCGGCGAGGGCGGTCGAGTGCACGGAGCTAAGTGCCTCGCCGTCCTCGCAGGAGTCGCTTAGGCGGCTCCCGTGGTGTTAGTGCCGGTGCGCGCCAGTCCCGTGCCCAGTGTCGTGCGAGGGAGTTTTGTTGTAAAAGTGCTGGCGCGACGCGATTCGTTTCGTCGCAGCTAGCCAGGAGGGGGCTGGCGCCTTCCTGAATGCGATCCCCATGCGGGATGATATGCGAATGGAGACTTGGGCGATGCGTCTTTCAGTGCAGCGCCGCCTCGGACTCCCGCTCGATGTTGCCTGCCAGGCGGTGGAGGCAGGCAAGAAGGCGCCAAACGGCAAGCCACATCAACCCGCGTGCGAAGCACGCGACAAGACACAAATTCCTGCTCAAACGACTCGTCAAGACCCTTCGCTCGGCGTGGGGCATGCTTATCGAGATGGAGCCGACTGCACACCTGCTCAGTTACAGTAACCCAAAACAACCTGACGTGGCGGCGGCGAACATCGGCGACGGGCATGCGCGCCTCGTTGGCGACTTGAAACTTACGAGCTCGCTTGCGTGCAAGGGTGGCGACCGGCTCGGCTGGAAGGGGGCTTTTGTCGCCTTCGGCAACACCGAGCGGGGGCTGCTTGACTTAGTGATACGGCTGTAGGGCATGCTGCATGGCCACGGCCGGACCGCTGGGCGTCCTGCGCCATGGCCCGCTTGTGTCCCTTCGGATCTCGAGTCGACGGGACGACGCCGGCGGCGAGGAGGCGAGGTTGGCCTCCGGTCTCCCTGCGGAGAATCATACCCTCGAGGGGCCACAAGCCCTGGTCGAAGGCGGCGGCGAGGGAGCGGCCTCGGCCGTAGAGGCCGGGCGGGAGGCGATCGTGAGCGACGCCGGCAGCCGCGATGGCGTTGAAGGCGGGAAGGCGGCGGCTGGCGCCGGCAAGGGTCCCACGCCGGTGAGCGGAGGTGCCATGGCACAGTGTGCCCATCTCGCCGATGGTGAGGACGTCAGTGGCGACGGCGGCGTTGCCGGCGACGGCAACGCACTCCTCGACGAGGTAGCGATCGTACTCGCCTGGCTGTGCAGAGGCGGTAGATTCGCGCACGGCCCGCTGTCCCTTGCCTTGGATTTGAGGCTGAGGGGCTGGCTGCGGCGAGCGTGCGGCGGGCGGCTGGATGTGCTCGTGCCCGGAGGGGGGGAGGCGCACAGCGGTCGTCTCCCAGAGCCCGGCGGTGGGTTTGTCCCTTCCCCGTGGGGCGGCGTGCGCCGGCTCGACCCAACCGTGGGGGAGAATGAGGTGGGCAGCCTCGGTGAAGTGGGCAGGCGCAACATGATTGCGGGCTGCGATGCAGTATGCAGCGAAGGCATTGAGTTTGGGCGGCCAAGCAGCAAACGCCCGCGACCGCCAGGCGCCGGCTGAATCACGCCCGGCAGCCTTGCCGACGTGGTCATCGTGCCCGCAAGAGAGGCCGTTGAGTTGCTGGACAACCTTCCCGACGTCGCCGTAGTACGCGAAAGCGGTGTACTTTTGAACGGAGGCGCCGAACTCGCACTGGGCAAAGGCAGTCAGCTTGGCCCCGAGCTCGTATAGGCGTCGGAAGCCGGAGGTGATGAAGAGAGAGCCAGACCCGCGGCCGTTCTCGTCGAACTGCCCGCGCAGGCCGGAGATCTCGACACAGCGTGGCGCAGGGTGTTCAACAATGAAGGAACTGTTGTGCGCGATGCACAGCTCAAGGATCTCGAGGACGCGCGCACGCTCGGCGTTGGCCCGCCGTTGCTCGCCGACATGAGCAGGGGGCAACTCGCTCTCAGGGATCCCGTCAGGGTGTTGGAGGGAGAACAGGGCTGGTGGATTAACATTAACACACCTCAGGGGCAGCTCTGACTACAGATCGTGCCAACACTTGGCGCAGAGGTCGGTGTTAACACAGTTGAACGGCAGTCCCAAAACAAGCGTTAACACAGCCGTTAACACGGTGTTGACACACGCTCCGGGTAAAACCCGGGTATACCTGCAAAAATCCGGGTATACCCGAGAAATACCTGGGTCCGCGTCAATGCCGCGCGCGCCTACTCCCAGGGCCACTGCGCCAACTGCAGCGCGCACCGTCTGCTCAAGTACGCGCACCGCACCATGTGCTGCCGCTACAATGCCAGAAAGCGGCTGCGGCGCAGCGGCAGGCGCGGCTGGCAGGTGGCGGTGCGGACGATGCGGTCGTGCCGACATTCTGCTTCAAGATTGATGCGGTGCTCGGCATGCGCTTCTGCGAGCCCGAGCAACTCATCGCAAAGAAGCGGCGCAACAGGCTGGCTGCTGCCGACAAGGCCGTGTGCTACCTCACGCGAGGCACCTTCAAAGAGGACAGCAATGACGCTGGATTCATCGACACGCGCTGGGTGGAGCTCGAGGAGCTGTACGAGAACTGTGGCAAGACGCCGCTGAAGAATGCGCTCAAGAAGTACCGAAAGGCGGAAGAGGAGGATGTGGATGCAGCGTTGCCGACTTTGAGGAGGGCGTCGAGCACGAGGGATAATAATGAATCTATGGGACATGTTCGCAATCGCAGCTGCGGGTGTGAAGTGAATATGCTAGACGGCGGGTCAACACCTCCCGAGGGGCGGTGTTAACACGTTTTAACACCTCTACGGCTGTGGTGTTAACCGTTAACGTGTCAACACCGTGTTAACGTTAATCCACCAGCCCTGAGGGAGAAGAGCGGCGGCGGCAGGTCATCCCCGGAGTTGCGGCTGTACCACCGGGATATGGAGTAGTAAGCGCACTTGGGGGAGGTGATGAGGGCGACAACGTTCCCGGCGGCAATGGGGCCGAGGATCTCGGTCTCGAGGAACTCGTCGAGGAAGATGTCGTGCCTCGGGTCCTCCGCGTGGTCAAAACAGGCACAGGGGATGCCGTAGTGGGCGAGGTGCGCATGCGGCATGTGCGTAGAACGGGTTGCGCAATGTGCGGCATCGTGTTGAGGGCTCGGGAGGGCAACGACGGCAGCGTTGCCGAGCTTGTACAGGGGCCTCAATCCTGTCCCCGATGGGGTGCGCCTCTCGCCGCGCGCGTAGCAGTCGGCGCGCGGGTAGCCTCAGAGATGCGCAGAGCGAGATGCGGGTATCAGCAAACCAAGCCCTGGGCTTGGATGGGCGCGGCGAAGCCGCGGCGCAGTGGATAGCGTGAAGAACTCGAGATCGCTGGGATCTTGAGCCGCCGCTGCCACGTGCAAGCCCCACCCGGCTGGCGGGTGGACCTAGGGGCGTGCCGCCCTGCTTGCTCTAGGTGAAACGTCTAAAGGTCGAAGATGCACGGAGGTGCGACCAACTCAGCACGACGGGCGGAGAAGTCGGGCACTAGACCAGGACTGGGAGAGTGTGAATGGAGGGACACGTGTGGTTCAGACGCCCCATCGGGAGAGGACGACCCCGGCTAGAGTCGCCGACCACACCCACAAAGAACCCTGCACAAAGATCGCACGGGCGGGGACCTGTTCCTTTTTACCCATCTCACAGTAGAGAGGTGTCCGCTTTATTTATTTATTTATTTAGCGGGGGGGGGGGAGCGCCCGCCGTCCGTATTTGAGTCGTTGAAGCGATCTTCGCCCGAGCACAGCGCTCAACAGTGCACTCGTTCCCTAACCTCCTACAGATAATGTTCGCTCGCGTGTTCGTCCTTGCTCTCTCGCTCCAAGGCGCCGCCGGCTTCAGCTCGACACCTGCCTGCGAGCCCTGCGAGGTGCGAGAAACGCACACCCGCCCAAGCAATCCCCATCTCTTGCGCTTGCCGCATGGACTCGAGGAGACGCCCCCACCCTACCCCCGCGCCGAATTAGGTTGGCATGGCAGACTGCCCGACGTGCTGCGGCGACATTTACACCGAGACAAACAAGTACCAGGGCCAGAGCTGCTCTGAGATGATTCTTGACAACCCGTGCGACGGTAGCTACTCTGGCTGGTACGGCCAGTACTGCTGCACGACGTGCTCCTCGCCTGACCAAATGGTCACGGGCTAAGAATCCCGCACCACCAAGTGGCAAGAGATTGAACTGGGTGGGCACCCCGCGCGCACCCCCGGAGCCCGGTGGACCGTGGACAGCGCCAGCGCGCGACCACGGTCCCATTACGGCTCCTAGCACGGGTAATAAATAAAAACGGACACCTCTACTGTGAGATGACTCTCGTCTATCTGTGTGACGCCTCTAAAGCCGTACTCGAGCGAGTGCCGTGTCGGCCACAAGGAAGAATGTAAAACGAACTCGGCCGGGCGAATCCCACGCGCCCCGACGCGCCCAGAGAGCGCAGAGGCTGAGTGCATGCTATATTGTAGTAACTCAGACACACCGACGTCGCGCCGCCGCTCACACCCCACTTGCGGTCTCCAGAGTCACGGCCCGTCGTCCGATTCCCCCATCGCGGCGTTGAACTGGGCCTGCGTGATCTTACCTCGCCGGAGCTGCTTCATCAGCCGGGCCTCCCGCGCAAAGTCGTCCTCGTCCGCCAGCTCCTCGGCGCGCGCAGCGGCCGCCGCGGCCGCCGCCTCGGCCGCCGCCTCCTTTGGCGACTTCCTCTCCGGCCGCGCCGCCATGCCCCCCTTGCCGCCCCCCTTGCCGCCCCCCTTGCCGCGGGCGGACTCCTGCGCGCCGCCGCCGGCCGCCTCCTCCGCCGCGCGCGCCGCCTTTGCCTGCTGGCGGAGGCGCTCGCGCTGCTTGTCCTTGTAGCGCACCGCCTCGAGATCGACCTGCGCGGCCGGCGTGAACTCGACCCACGAGCCCTTGCCGCGCTTGCGCTTCTTGCCGAGCTCGCGCACGCGCGGCAGGCGCAGCAAGCCCATCGCGGAGGCGAGCGCGCCGAGGTCGAGCTTGTCGAACACAAAGACGTACCGGCAGACGTGCTCCTGGTACGCCTTGAGGAAGGAGACGTACGCCGCGGCGCCGCGCTCCATCACGGCGCGGTCCGCCACGGCCAGCCGCGTGAGCGCCTCCGCCACGGGCGGCGCGGAGGGCTCGGGCTCGCGCGGCTCGACCGGCGCCTTGCGCACCGCGAGGAAGTGGACGTACGCCTCCTCCTCGGGCCGCAGCAGCAGCAGCGCCGCGCCCGAGCGGCCCATCCGGGCGGTGCGGCCGACGCGATGCACATAGGCGTTCGGGTCCTGAGGGCCAGTGCAAGGACGTGACACGGCCGTGTCCGAGGGCGGGACTACCCGCGCAAGCGGCGCTCGGCTCCTGCGGCGCGTCGAACTGCACCACCCAGTCCACGTCCGGCAAGTCGAGCCCTCGAGCCGCGACGTCAGTGCAGAGCAGCACCGCGCCCTGCTGCTGCTGCGCAAAGGTGTCAAAGGCGCGCCGCCGCGGCTTGGGCGACATTTTGCCGTGCAGCGCCGCAAAGGAGGCGCCGCGCAGCGCCGGCAGCTGCGGCAGCGTCGCAGAGTAAAAGGCGACGCACGCGCAGGTGAGGAAGTAGACCATCACCTGCGCCAAAAGTGGCGCGGACGATGTGTGCCGCGGAGGTGTCGCGGACGTGTCACCGACGTGTCGCGGACGTGTCACGGACGTGTCGCGGACGTGTCGCGATGTCGCGGACGTGTCGCGGACCGATGTCGTTGACGGGTCGGGAGGGAAGGGATGTGAGGGGGTGGGGGGGTGGGGGGGGGGGGGGGGGCCCCCCTTTGTCCCCTCCCGGGAACCCCACCCTGAAAAAAGGGGAAAAATTTTGGGAAAACCCCTCCGCCTTCTGCGAACCCCCAGGAGCTTACCAAACAAACGGGGGACGGGCGTCCGGGGGAAAACTCCGGCGGCGCCCCCCGAAAAAAAAAACCCCCCCCCCCC